CAGAGGCCAGCTGTTGAGCTGTAACCGCAAGTTCATGTATATATAGGTAATCGGGTGTGCGTGTTGTGATAAGGTGGACTTGAATGATCTGGTTTCTTCAACTTCACTTGGTGGAAATAATATTAGGGTTTGTAATCCAAGTGCTTATATACATTTTAAGACCAAACCAGGAACGACTGCGAAAAATGCAGCACAAGGTCCTATGGTAGGAATTGAACCTACGGCCCAGCGATTCCGGCGCAGCGCTCTAACCCACTGAGCAACAGAGGCCAGCTGTTGAGCTGTAACCGCAAGTTCATGTATATATAGGTAATCGGGTGTGCGTGTTGTGATAAGGTGGACTTGAATGATCTGGTTTCTTCAACTTCACTTGGTGGAAATAATATTAGGGTTTGTAATCCAAGTGCTTATATACATTTTAAGACCAAACCAGGAACGACTGCGAAAAATGCAGCACAAGGTCCTATGGTAGGAATTGAACCTACGGCCCAGCGATTCCGGCGCAGCGCTCTAACCCACTGAGCAACAGAGGCCAGCTGTTGAGCTGTAACCGCAAGTTCATGTATATATAGGTAATCGGGTGTGCGTGTTGTGATAAGGTGGACTTGAATGATCTGGTTTCTTCAACTTCACTTGGTGGAAATAATATTAGGGTTTGTAATCCAAGTGCTTATATACATTTTAAGACCAAACCAGGAACGACTGCGAAAAATGCAGCACAAGGTCCTATGGTAGGAATTGAACCTACGGCCCAGCGATTCCGGCGCAGCGCTCTAACCCACTGAGCAACAGAGGCCAGCTGTTGAGCTGTAACCGCAAGTTCATGTATATATAGGTAATCGGGTGTGCGTGTTGTGATAAGGTGGACTTGAATGATCTGGTTTCTTCAACTTCACTTGGTGGAAATAATATTAGGGTTTGTAATCCAAGTGCTTATATACATTTTAAGACCAAACCAGGAACGACTGCGAAAAATGCAGCACAAGGTCCTATGGTAGGAATTGAACCTACGGCCCAGCGATTCCGGTGCAGCGCTCTAACCAACTGAGCTACAGAGGCCAGCTGTTGAGCTGTAACCGTAAGTTCATGTATATATAGGTAATCGGGTGTGCGGGTTGTGATAAGGTGGACTTGAATGATCTGGTTTCTTCCACTTCACTTGGTGGAAATAATATTAGAATATTAGGGTTTGTAATCCAAGTGCTTATATACATTTTCAGACCTGACCAGGAACAACTGCGAAAAATGCAGCACAAGGTCCTCTGGTAGGAATTCAACCTACGGCCCAGCGATTCCGGTGCAGCACTCTAACCAACTGAGCTACAGAAGCCAGCTGTTGAGCTGTAACAGCAAGTTCATGTATATATACGTAATCGGGTGTGCGGGTTGCGATAAGCCGGACTTGAATGATGTGGTTTCTTGCACTTCAATTGGTGTAAATAATATTAGCATATTAAGGTTTGTAATCGATATGTTTATATACATTTTAAGATCTGACAAGGAACGACGACGAAAAATGCAGCACAAGGTCCTCTTGTAGGAATTGAACTTGCGGCCCTGCGATTCCGGTGCAGCGCTATAACCAACTGAGCTATAGAGGCCAGCTGTTGGGCTGTAACCGTAAGTTCATGTATATATATAGGTAATCGGGTGTGCGGGTTGTGATAAGGTGGACTTGAATGATCTGGTTTCTTCCACGTCACTTGGTGGAAATAATATTAGAATATTAGTGTTTGTATTCCAAGTGCTTATATACATTTTCAGACCTGACCAGGAACAACTGCGAAAAATGCAGCACAAGGTCCTCTGGTAGGAATTCATCCTACGGCCCAGCGATTCCGGTGCAGCGCTCTAACCAACTGAGCTACAGAAGCCAGCTGTTGAGCTGTAACAGCAAGTTCATGTATATATACGTAATCGGGTGTGCGGGTTGCGATAAGCCGGACTTGAATGATGTGGTTTCTTGCACTTCAATTGGTGTAAATAATATTAGCATATTAAGGTTTGTAATCGATATGTTTATATACATTTTAAGATCTGACAAGGAACGACGACGAAAAATGCAGCACAAGGTCCTCTTGTAGGAATTGAACTTGCGGCCCTGCGATTCCGGTGCAGCGCTATAACCAACTGAGCTATAGAGGCCAGCTGTTGGGCTGTAACCGTAAGTTCATGTATATATATAGGTAATCGGGTGTGCGGGTTGTGATAAGGTGGACTTGAATGATCTGGTTTCTTCCACGTCACTTGGTGGAAATAATATTAGAATATTAGTATTTGTAATCCAAGTGCTTATATACATTTTCAGACCTGACCAGGAACAACTGCGAAAAATGCAGCAAACCGCCCTCTGGTAGGAATTGAACCTACGGCCCAGCGTTTCCGGTGCAGCGCTCTAACCAACTGAGCTACAGAGGCAAGCTGTTGAGCTGTAAACGCAAGTTCATGTACATATAGGTAATCGCGTGTGCGGGTTGTGATAAGGTGGACTTGAATGGTGTGCTTTC